GTTTTTGTTTTCGGCCAAAAAATGGTTGGAAATTTAGGATTTGAGGTTGTAGGAAAAACAAAGTAAGTTTTATTTTTCACAAATTCGTGTTAATCCAATCAAGATCTAATCTTAAGACACAAAATGGAAATGTCAATAGCACATTGGAGGGTTCATCGTCAACAGTTTGCGATTTCACACAATTCCTAGAGTAGAATCAAACTAAAAAACATCTGATACATCTGATACATTACTGCTTCATTCACTAACCTGAATTAAGGATGACTCCCCTCCTATTCACCATCATTTTCAGTGAGGAAGATCAACGATCGTGATCAACTTACATGGAGATTACGCCCATAATCCATATCATATCCTCATGAAATTACCCTCTGGTAAACGTTTACATAACTATGGAAAATCACAATTTTATAGCTGGGTAAATCAGTTCGAACTTTCTGTGGCCATTTTCAATAGCAAACTGTTAGTTTACCAGAGGGTATATCTCTCTTAGATCATAACATATGCCATAGGTGTTAGATAAATTACATGATATATCCTATATGCCATTATGTTGGATATTTGTATATCAGTATATCCATATCATATCCCCATTAAATTATATATTTCTTAGATCCTAACATATGCCATTACAGTCTAAATTAAACACATCCCTATTGGTGTTGAATTTTTCACCTCCGTGGAGTCCTGACCAGATCAATGAATTTTGATTCGCACATTGTAATGCAAAAAAGCAACCTCCATAAAGATAGAAAGGTAAAATCCTGCTAATTTTTAGTGTAAACAAAAAACATCTATATCATGAAGGACCATCCCGTAAATTGTGGTTGTAGTTAATAACCCTGGTTAGTCCCCCAAGTAGGTTAACCCATATATGCATTGTACATGGGTTATAGATTCATAAGTTACAACCTTAGTTATATACTAATTATATACTAACCGAACCACAACCACGATTCGTGGGATGATCTTCCAAGTACGGACTGAAATTCCGTGTGCTTTGAGCATCATGCCATCTAATATGCCCCAAAAAATGTCATTGGATTGGTCTTGCTGGGAACGTCTACGGGAAACTATGTTTTGTTTTTCCTATACTGTAATATATGCTATAATATATATATATATATGATATATATAATATATACAATATATATATAATATATATATATAATCTATAATATATATAATATGATATATATTTGTATTTGTAATAATACTACATAGATTGATAACGATTAACATAGCCAAATGTAATAGTTTCCCACTGGTTTCCCCGTATTGTGTCCCTTCATCCAACTTTGACTGACCCTCATTGATTTCTATGGAAAACTGGCATCCATTCGTGCGCCTGCAGCGGAAACTCGTGCTCACTACCTGAAGCAACTAGAGGTGCATACTTTGGTATTACCCTCCAATAAGTTGTGATTTAATATGATTTAAGCATGCAAAAATGGTGAGGGGGTTCACCATCAAAATTGGAAAAAAACTCTAGATATATATTCATAGATATGGCTTTGTCCAAGACAAATGACACCCTGATACCCCATTCTATAGCCGCTCTAACAGGCAAAATCATGGTACACCATCATTTTTTGGGGGTACCTTATTCTCCGACAAACCCATACAGATAGCCCATATGGTTCCCTAAGAAATGATACAGCAAATGGTGGATTTTCATGGATTTCCGATATCTGTGGGTAAACCATGGTAAACCATCGATTTCTGGGAGGGCTGAATAATATTAGCGTTTGTCCAAGGATGCTATTGTCCTCAATCCTCAATGTGGAGTGTGAGCCACATGACTAAACCGTATTTTGCAAAGCCATCACACATCGCGTTGCATTTGCACGCATACATATACGCACATTTTCTATCAAGCCTATGAAGTTAGCCCCCAGCCTCAATGCCACCATTGATTTAGAATATCAGCTGTTGGTCAATATCTGACTTTGGGATTTGAAACATCACTCTGAAAAGATTCTTGGCCTCCACTCCCCCACTGAATTTCCGGCGGGTGCGGCAGCACGGCAGCTCCCAAAATTTGGATGAATATCACTAAGCCAGCTACCAGGTGAAATGGTTTGAGTCAAAACTTGATATGCTATTGAATCGTATGATGGAGGTTTCCAAAGTCACGGGAGTATCACCAGATCATCCAGTCATTGGACCATGACTTAGTATTGAAACAACCATGCTGACTTGGAGATCCACCATTTTCAGAAACCACCATATTGAACCCCCATTGAACCGTTCTGTTTAACGGATCTTCACCCCCCCGTCAAATGATCCCCTTTTCACCAACATCCGAGCCGCTGGTGACCCAATATTCAAACGATACGATCATCCAATACGACGAAATCCTGCGGATGGAGATCGGTGGGAAGTCATGGCATGTCCAGCTGGCGCAGCTCCAAAGGTACCAATCTTGCGATGGGAAGAATATCAACCAAACATCTTCAATAAGAATGTGGGCCCCCAAGTTATGTTTGTTGGTTTGTAAACCACATTAAATTTATAGTTATAAGTTATAAGTATGATGAACATGTTCACCAACTTAGCTATCGATTGGGCCCCACATTATATAATGGTTCCTGTATGGCAGCCAGTCGGCGTGACCGTCTCACAACGAGGTGGATGTGCATCCCCAATTGATAGTTCATAAGGTCTAAGCCATTCAGCCAATTTACAAATCAGATCTTCAAATGGGCTAAATCCAAGTTATCTCACTGCCCAAGTTAGGCGACTACTTTGGGATGATTACCACATTACTCTCCAGTAAACTAACAGTTTGCTATGGAAAACCAACCATTCATAGATGATTTACCCATCAAGAATGATTGTTTTCCATAGCTACTAAGCTATGTTAGTCTACCAGAGGGTAATCCCTTTCCGATTTTCTGCTTTCCGTAAACCCTCATTCATGTTTGTTGACAAATCCCAATGTCGGACACGGCCAATGTCGGACATTGGTCCATGTGGGAGAAACTCAGAAACTACCTGACTCAAGCTCCCAAGCGGGAGACATATCGGTAGAAGCATTTTTCAGACAAAACTCATCAAAACTCAATATACCCATGGCATACCCATGGTGTGATATGGTATTGTTCCTGATATTGCCATTTCTTGGCGGTGATGACATGTTTCGCCGCCTACTAGCGTTGGAAAAAAGACACCTCCATCATGTCAATGGGAGATCTTCAGGATCCAATTGATGGAGGTACGTAAACGTACCATATTTCAGGCCATATGAATTGTGGGGATGTTCCCTGAAATTAAGGCCTGAAATTTAGGCCTTATATATGGTAGGTACATTGATCATGCTCACCCAGGGCAAACACCTCCAGCTGGATCATCGGTGGAATATCTACCATCTGTTGTGGCGAGAAATGCCAATTTGTTGCTGATACCATCTGGTAAATTAACATATAGACCCTGAAAATCGACAATTTTTGAATCTAATCTTCCAACCCCGACAACTGGCAGGGTCACCCTGCTAAAATTAGCTGCTAATTTAGAGGAGGGTAAATCTCCCTTTTCATTGCTGATAAATCCCATTTTTTGTTGATCATGTATATATATATATAATATATATTTATTATGTATTGCTGATAAATTCAATTTATTGCTGATTAATATGTATATAATTATATATTATATATATATGTGTGTGTTTTGTATTGCTGATATTCATCCCATTGTGACTGCTGATCGCCACCTGAAAAGACCGTCCACGGAGGTCAGTACCGTTGCCATGCGACAGAAGAACACCTCGGTGATGGGTACCCTCTGGTTATGACTAATATAGCCATGGTAAAGATGGCCCATTTATAAATGGTGTACCTATTAAAAATGGTGATTTTTGGCTATGTTAGTCATAACCAGATGGTATATGATTATGAGGATTCGTGTCATGACGTATGAATTAATGGATATTAATGGAGAAATATGCATGATATTCCCATTCTATCTCCGTTTTAAATCACGAGATTTGCTGGTCAACTCATTTGAGCAGTGTTCAAAACCCGCTTTTTGTGGTTGGTTTAGAATGAATTTCCCAGAACGGATCCCATCAATCCCAATATCAACTGGGTAGATCTGGGTAGCATATCCCACAAACTAATCATCACAGGGGTTTTGAACATGGCCCAGGCTTCTTTTCGAGATATGATTTTTGACCACACTGAGGCAGCCGGACCCAACTTCCCAGGCGTTTTGAGCTTCAAGTCTCCTGGCGACTTGGAGGATGGCCCAATCTCCATAGGTTTTTGCTACAATCGGTTTTTGCTGATATTTATTCTTGGTGACAGAGATATTAGCAATATTTGATGATGATATCTAAATATATCTAATTTCTTGGCATAATATTTGATGATATATGATGATATACAATCTGTTTTGGTGACATGCCACTACATCTATCATCATATTTATCAATGATATCAATCTCTTGATCGGCCAGTACCAAAATCCTGGGCCTTTCTTGTGATGGCGGTTCAACATGTTCAACCCCAATTCTTGCTGATAGAATCCCGATGATTGTTAGTTAAATCACATCTTTTTGGTTGTGAAAACACCATCTAAACCTGGTATACTCATTTTCGTTTTGCTTCTCATGCTTTTTCATGCTTTTTCCATCTTTTTCCCACTGGTTCAATCCTCATTTGATATTTGTATCGATTGAATGACCATCTGTAGTAAGTTTGATATTGAAATCCTTCTTTTTTCCAGTGAAATCACCTACATCTGGCTACCCATCGGGTCTACATTTCTCCCGTGGCCGTTCCCCGTGTGGCTTTGCAGTCAAGCATCCATCCAGTTCTACGACAGCATCGCACAGCAAATTCAAGAGGTGTTGGAAAGCACCTGAGGATGGACAAAGAAACTTAGCTAATTGGGGATTTGAGTCTCAAAAATGTGGATATGACATGATATGACTTACTAACCATGGGAGAAAAGATTTGACAACACCAACTTTTGATGTCAATTCCTGGGTCAGAGTTTCACAGTTTCACAAATTGGGCCCCTTTAGCAGCCAGGGCCGAAAGCGTCAAAAACTGGCCAGTTGAGTTCACCTTTTCCATGCCATCCACCTCTTGGGGTCTCAGCTGCCCCCGGGGCCCCGGGGCCCCGGGGCCTCGGGTGCGTTCCATCAACTTAGCTCGTTCCTCGATTGCATCTTTGTCCTCGGCCGTCATGGCATCGGATCCTGGGACTTAGTCCATGTGTTGAATATGGTAATTTTGGGATTGTTGTTTTTCGTTGGAGGGTTGAAAAGAACTGAGATGAACTGAGGTTAGGTGTATAGCTCCTGCAAAAGCCTTCCAAAGGGAGAAATGAACTGCTTTGAATTCTGTTTGAAAACTTCAAGTTGCAGTGACAAAGGGGTGAATGTAGCCTACGTTTGAAGGCGGTCGAGCTACTTCAACAACCACTGGATCTTTGCTGGTCATATCCTCGTGTCCAAGTGTAAGGCATCCGTCATCCAGGGGTCATAGCCGCATGACTATGGAGGAACATATATTAGCCATGCAAACCCGACAGCTCCTTTTCTTCATTCCACTGCCTGTGTTCAGATTATATAAAGAAGCAATTCTCCTACCCTTTGACGGAAAAAAAACTACCCTTGCAACTAAAATATACTAAAATAACATCTCATGTGGTAAACAAACAATTCCTAGTTCCACCAGAGGTGGGTTGTATGGCGCGTGAACTTAGAGGTCTACCATCAGATTTGCCACATTATCCATTGTATCCCCATTGATTCTTTTCTATATATCTATATAATTGTGTACATACGTATAATATATAATCATTAAATTCAATTGAGAGTTCTATCCCGATCTTCGTTACAGCCCTGTGTCTGAAGTCTTCCTCCCAACTTCGTTGTTTCAACGTCCTCGCCTGCACGACCAACGCGGCCTTGATATTGGCCTCTCTCATTCTCGGCCCGAGCCGCTCGAGCTTCGGCCTGCGCAGCGTTTTTCCAGGTACTACTTGAGGTGAGGCCGTTCGGATACGAAGAACCATAGGAACATGGTGGATTTTCACCATACCCATAGGATCCATGGTGCTGGTATATATGCTAACATGACTGGGGTATATTGATGGTAAATGTCACCATATATAGCATACATGGATCCTATGGGATATTTCACCAAAAATAATGGTGATTATATGGGATTCAAGGCCGATTTGTGGCTAAGTTGACGCACCAAAAACTACTGCTTAACGTTTGGGTTGGGGGGGATAGAATTGCACCGCAGTCACCATGCACCAGCTGGGAGTGCTTACCAATGCTTACCATCAAAAAACTGGAGATAGCCGATAGCCAGTAGATACATATTATGTACATATTATGTACTGTATGCATATGTATAAATACGGGGAGTGAGCTTGCAACAGTAGCAATTGTCACCAACTGGGAACCCGACGACGGGGAAGTTTCGCCATCTTTCCCAAGCAACATAGGAGATTTATCGCAAAGAAGACGGATATACAGCAATATAACTTGGAATACGAAGAACATGTCAAGTGTGTGACTTTGAACTGATGGGTTGCCATTGCCATTGTTTAACATTATTTGACTACCAAAGGTTCTGTAAACTGAAATTTGTAGGAGAAAACTCGGCACATCCACCTCAAAAGAAGTAAACAAGGAGAACACTAGAGGTCAAACATTGTTGAAAGTATCTAGGCAAAAGAAACATAGCCGCTACATGTCATGCGATCCCTAGGTCCATGGATCCAGCCTGGCAAATGCTACCCCAAAACCCGGCGATCAAATCGGAGTTGGGGATTCAATGTATCTAAATTTAGTAAACATTAAAGAAAGATAAACAAAGTGTTTCAGGATTCAAGCAGATTTCAAAACATAGATTTCAACACCAATTTCTACATCAGTTGCGTAAGCCATAGATTTCTAAACATAGTGATGGGCTAAGCGATTTACGAAACGCCCCCGGTTTCGCTTTGCGCTGCCACCTCAGCCATGTGGGCACGCTCCGCGGAGAGGCTGGCTTCTTCACGCGCCAGTCGAACTTCTTCCTGAAAACAGAAGTTGGACATGAATATGAATATGACATACATGTGTATATATGTATATATAACAATAAAAAAACAGATAGATGCATAAATCGATATAAATCGATAGATAGATCGATAGATCGATAGATAGATCGATAGAAACACAAATGATAAAATTGATCCGTGAATAAACAAAAAATGTGTGTGTATATATGTATATATATATAATATTGTGTCAAATAACACTCACACACACATTATATACATGTATATATATATATAAATAAGAAAATGCATATATGTATATTGTTTGACATGTTGGCCGACCTCACCATGCATAGAATCATTGTCTCATCCATCAAAAATATGGGTCATGCGATAGAAAGTGATTTTGATATAGAAGTATGTCTATGATACATTGTAGTAGATTTATATTGACATATACCAACACATAAAACGCAACAACATGATATGACATGGACTTGTCTGAAAAGGGGATCAAAGGTAGGCCAGCAGCTCACCATGAACATCTTCCAGTGGAGTCAGCGACCACCATGAATAAGCAGGAATGGTACAAATTTGTTCTGATAGTCTCGGTTGGTTGGGATATCCAACATGTATACAGTAATTAGTAACAACTATGCCACAGCGCTACTTGGGGGTGCAATTCTACTTAACAAATTGTATCTGTCGCCATTGCTAGGGCCGTTATATCCAAACTTCACTTATGGAGGTTACTTGGGAGTTCAGTTCCAGTTAAAAGTGCGTATATGACCATAGTTGTAAGGGTTGTCACAACTAGTGGCGTTCAAAATGCAATGGTTGCACCCGGTTGTACCCATTTAAAAAAAAAAAAGATCTAAAAATAAAAATAAAAAGAACAGTTGCATCCCCAACTTTCTCACGGACCTGGACCTGCGGTCAAGCACCATAAATTGAGACATCCCTAGTCTAAACCACACCCAAATCATGCTGTTGGTTGTAATATTACATTATATAATCTATTGCTTGACACATCAAAAAAATGTTTTAATCTTATCTTAATCTATTAAATGATGGACCAATTGTTCCGCAGAAGTGCCTGCACATTTTTTTCGGGTAAAAAAAACATGATCCTTGCTGTAGCCACCTGAACCTGCAATCGGGGACGTGAGTCGCTCTGCAATGCGTTGCATCAAAACACTGGGCCCACAAATTGGCAATCCAAATTGTGCGACAAGGATTTGACTGAATATATTTGGTGGAAAAAAATTGCCGCCTGGTGGATTCTTTTGGGTTTGGGGCCTTGGTGCATGGTGAAGCTTGTTGTGAAACTGTCGGTGCATTTTTGAAAAAGGAAAATAAAAACAAATAAATGTTCGTCAATTCTTCGCCACAAACTTCGCGGCATACTCACACTACATACTTACTCAGAAACTTCGCCGCAAACTTCGCCGGCAGAACTTCGCCAGCAAAAATTCGCCAACAAAATCTCGCCAGTTATTTGCAGTTGACAAACAAATATGTTGCCCTTACACAAACATCCCGTCGGGTAGAAAACTGCGCCAGCGTTTTGAGGGTTTTTTTAAAAATGTCGTTTTCGCCATAGCGAAACTACTGATTCATGCCCCAAAATTGGCTCAAATTCCCCGGGATTTTGAAGTGTTTTTTAAACGATAACCTGTAAATTACAGGGAATTTGTTCTTGAAAACTCGCCGGGTCTTTTTTCCCAACTCACATTGCTACACGGTCTTTCAAGGCTCGACCTGTGACCTCCATAAGACTTTTTGTCTTGGAGTTCATCCAACGCCACTGCCACACCCGGATGCTTCGCATCAACTTTGGGTTGACATGGCCGTTGGATCTCGTCGAGAGAGAGAGCATGGGATGGCAGACTTAGATAGTCGCCACATTGCGTCAACAACTGATTCATGCCTCACCCCCCCAACCCAGTGACGTAACTTAAGATGTGCATGTGACGCAAGTTCACATGAACGTTAACATCCCCCACCCCCCAACCCAGTGACGTAACTTAAGATGTGCATGTGACGCAAGTTAACATGAACGTTAACATGCCCCACCCCCCAACCCAGTGACGTAACGTAAGATGTGCATGTGACGCAAGTTAACATGAACGTGAACATGCCCCACCCCCCCAACCCAGTGACGTAACGTAAGATGTGCATGTGACGCAAGTTAACATAAACGTTAACATCCCCCACCCCCCAACCCAGTGACGTAACGTAAGATGTGCATGTGACGCAAGTTAACATGAATGTTAACATGCCCCACACCCCCAGCCCAGTGACGTAACATGACGTAACGGAAGATGTGCATGTGACGCAAGTTAACATGAACGTTAACATCCCCCACCCCCCAACCCAGTGACGTAACGTAAGATGTGCATGTGACGCAAGTTAACATGAACGTTAACATCCCCCACCCCCCAACCCAGTGACGTAACGTAAGATGTGCATGCTCTGGATAAAAAATGTGTGTTTTCAAAAACGGTTAAAACGCTGGCGCGGTTTTCCCCCCGCTGGCACAAACATGCATGTTCATCGGTATGAACTTGGCCACAATTGAACACAAACGAACATTATAAAATTTCACTCTTACTTGATTCGCAGGAAATTTGGCCTAATAAATAATAAAGCAATATCTCATTCAGATCCATCCGTTGCAGTATCTCCCGTTGAATTCCGTATGAACCCTCTTTGGTTTTTTGACCTCACTTTTTGTTGGTTAAAGACACATATACACTCATTTCATACACATCACAAACCCTGCAATGAAAAATAGCTCTTGGGTTGGTTAATGTATCCCTGTCAAAATTGTGAACTAACAAGCTGTACCAAACTGCCCATCCAGTCAGTTTCCCCAGATCTAACCCTCTTATTCCATTAAAAATTGTCCCTGCAAAAAACCCTAAGCAGTGCTGGAAGGAACATGAAGAAGAGAGGCTCAGATACCAGGTTAGATTCTGCAAGTTCCCTTTGTGAAGTGCAGGATCTCCTGGACAGGTTCTGTGTAAAAGCTGCTGTGCAAGATCCCTTTGTGTACAAGGTGTCTAGAAAAGATCTCCACAGAAGATCTCTGTAGAAAATCTCAAAGCAAGATCTCCGTGCAAGCTCTCAGAGGTCTCTTGGCAAGATCTCTGTACAAGCTCTCTAAAAAGCATCTCCCGGCAAGATCTCTGTTAGAGGCCTCTTGGCAAGATCTCTGTGCAAGATCTCGAGAAAAGCTCACGTGGCAAGATCTCTGTACAAGTTTCCTATAAGGGGTCTCGTGGCAAGATCTCTTGAAGAGATCTCTGTCCAAGCTCTCTATAAAATGCTAACTTGGTAAGATCTCTGTAAGAGCCCTCTGGGCGAGATCTCTGTAAGGGGTCTCTGTACAAGATCTCTGCGCAAGCTCTCTATAAAAAACCTCCTTCTCAAGATCTCCGTGCAAGGGCTCCTTGACTATCAACATGAGCACCGCGTCACAACGAGAGCACTCTGACAGGCCCAAAGTGGGGGGTTGCGCGAGTGAGATCAAAAATAAGCACCGTGCCACAACGAGAGCGATCTGACAGGGCCAAGGTGCCAAGAGGGTTGGGCGAGCGATCTCAAATTTCGCACCGCGCCACAAAGCTATCTGAGAGGCCCAAAGTGACGAGAGGGTTGCCCGAGAGGTCTCCGGGCAACCGTTTCGTGCGAGACTTCCGTCAAAAACGGAAGATGAAGGAGCTTTTGTGCTGTAGAAGGGTCACCAAATTTGCCGTCCCTCCCGGCGACCACCTCGAATGAACATCGGGCCTTAACTATTACGGTAAGAACCCTCCAGTGTGGCCACACTGTTTGGGGAAAATAAGAGATAGTGTATATTATATGATATATTATATTGTATTCCATTATATAAAATGTGGGTTAAACATAAAACATTCTTATTTATTCTTATAAGATGTTTAAAACCAGGTTAGAGCTCATTTGAGCAGCGTCAGACACCTATATGTCTATTGGTTTATTGTTAATAGTAGGGTTCTACTAACTTGTTGAAAAGGGATCGGCCAACAATCCATTTTTGGAATAGCAACACACCATAACCATCCACTTCGCAACCATTCGCGCCTCACAAATGCGAGCCATGACCTCCGCTTCAGCCTGACCAGATATTCAACATCAACCATTGGGGAGTTCGCCATGTTTCGAATTCTGCTGATGATCTTTCAGTTCTGTCAGATTGTGCCACAAATCACTTGCTGCGCTTTTTTTTTGCGGAGATGGGTCCTACGTACGTAACGGTTGGTTTGACCTACAAAGAAGTCAATCCGGATGGGGTTTTGCGATGGCCGGTTTCGAATCCCTGGTTTCGGATCTGATACGTTGGATTTCCGGAGGGTACCCCAAATCATTGCCAGGGCCATGGCCATTTTAGTATACCCATGGTGACTTGGGAGATATCAATGGATATCATATATCATTTAGATATTTTAAGGAACCTCCAAATGGGAATATCAAGAATGAAAACCAAAAAACATGCTGCTAGTGCCAATCTGGTTGGTGGTTTCCACCCCTCTGAAACATATTAGTCAGTTGGGATTATTATTCCCAATATATGGCAAAAACAAGTTCCAAACCACCAACCAGCAATCATAAAGGGAAAATGTGAGTTCACACTGCAACATGTGGATTTGTTCAGTGTACAGAAATGACCGCAACTGGCAATAGTTGGTGCGGCTTAAATAAATCGAAATACCAGTAACAAGTAGCCAATAGAATGACAAGAAAGATAGACTAACTTCACATATTTGAAGTAAGTCATGTTTCTCCTGATGTTTCTCCTTCCTATCAATCACTTTTAAAGCAGCAATCAGTCGACTGGTTGGCCAATGAGGTTTTCGAACATGCACATATTTATACATATTTACATCTATACTTTGACCAGCTCCTTCCTCCTAACGTTGCAGCGTTGTTGCTTTCTCACAAGTCATTCGTGAAGGCTGAAAGTGAAGAATGTCAAACCTGGTCGACTCTGGTAAATCATCTGGCCGAATTTCCGTTATTCACTTGGACCCCCAAGAAAAACCTGGGATGTAGCGGAAGATCATATACTAGACTTCAGGGACCAACCATATATATATATAGCTTTGTCATGCTTTATATATGACAATTTAGGGGAAAACAGAACATCTAATGCTTTATCGTGATTTGTCAAACTATACCATATTTTTCCATTCAAATACCATGTGTAATGCCATAAATTAGCCCATAAAACAACTCTAAGAGGCGCCTGTGAATGGCTGACCTGCGTCAACACCCTCAGTGCGACATCCGGAAAGTCAAAACGAAAACGGTGGAGCGATCGGCTTGGCATATGATCGCCAGCAAATCTCCAAATATCGATTTGTACGAGTAGTTTTGTATCAAACTATTGTTAGTTTAGTATGTTATATCTACACATATCGATATTTGGTTACAAATATTTCCAATATCTCCAAATTTGTAATGTTTTGTATCAAACCAACAATTTGTTTCAGCTTTCACACGCACAGTTGGATACAAACAGATACAAAAATTGTCGCAATGCAACTCGTCCAAAAGGGTAGAATAGGAGGAACGCAACTCGTCCAAAAGGGTAGAATAGGAGGTACTTGTATTGTTCATGGAGTCACTGAAAGGCTCAAGTCTGATGTGGCAGAACGATCAGTCGTCTTGGTAATCCCCAAAAACAACCGGTTTCCGCATTGAACATGATTATATAGTGTTTGGAAAGTAGCCTCTGGTTATTTAACATAGCTATGGAAAATGATCCATCTATAGATGATGTACCTATTAAAAGTGATTTTTCCATAGCTATGTGACAAATAACAAGAGGGTAATACTATTCCATTTCCCTTCATTTTGTCATGTTCGATGTCTTAGAAGTCATCACCGTTCTACAAGGTGGTACCCCCCAGTTAAAAGTTGGTTTATAATCCCCATTAACTATAGATATAACCCCCATAAACCCTAGTTATTGGACTTATAAACCAAGTTAGCTAACTATGGGGCACCACTTTGTGTCTCCTTTTCCCTGAAGACACCGAGACAGTCCAGACGCTGACTATACTTGGTGAAGATTGCCATGAGGGCAACCTTGGACCATCACGGATCACGCTGGAGTCAGTGAATTTTAAGGTGATGTAAATCATGATTTTCATGGGATTTACTAATGAGATCCCATGGGATATCATTATAATATCACAAGTTATATACATATAAATGTTAGATTCTAGATCCCCCATGATGGCAATATTTAAGAGTCTGCTATGGAAAAAAAATACCATGTCCAGCGTGGGATATGATTTAATAATTATCACCCGGGAATCCCATTGATTAATGGTACCCGCTTATACTTATACCACTTAATAATCATATCATTTAGTGGTGATTTAACAATGTATATAAAAATAAAGTCTCTACCATGTATGATATCATATTTAACAGTCTGCTATGTTTCCCGTCACTATTTAATATATTTGTAAACAAAAAATATATATGTGTAATTTTCCATGAACATGCTAAATTGACAGAGAGTAAATGAAAAGGATCCAGTACTCGACATGTTGAAACTGTGATTTATCATATATGAATTGAAGTTGGATTATCCAACGTTTAAGACGTTTAAACATATTGTAAGTGTCTATGATGGTAAAGACATGGTAAAACATGGAGAACTGCTCAACAATAAAGCTATTGCAATCGGATGATCGAACAAAAAGTGTGAGAAATGGTTCATATGTTTGCGCACCGTTACACAAAAACTATGAAGAAATTACTGAAACCGACATGTTTAATCCTTGACTGATCCTTATCCTTCCCTGTTAGCTCGTGGGACATGACTATAGATTTCCACACAGCCCCAAGTCACTTGCATCACTTGCATGCAGGTTGCTAAAAACACTTGCGAACCCACGCTGGGTCTGTGCTGCAGTTTTGGGCCTCGAAGCTGTGAAGCTAACTGGGTTCCCATCAAATGACCATTTTCATAATGGGAAAATGATGAACCAATGGATTTTAGAGGTATTTTCAAAAAACAATGTGTCGCAAGTCGCAAGAAGGCGCAAGAAGGCGCAACATGTGCCTCAGGCGCTGGCTTTCGGCATTTACAACGGTATAGCTGACGAAGAAAACGGAGTGCAACAAGGTCAAGAGCCAGACATAGGGCCGAGGTAACCCCAAGCTGAGCCTCGGGGTGCAGCTGAGTTTTTCTTGGCTCAGCTTTGAGCTAGAGGAATTCACATCGGCTGGGAAAAAATCACATATAATATGTATATTATTGTGTATATATATAAATATATAATATTATATAATTATATATATATACGTATATATATATAGTAAACATATAATACACTACATATCATTATATAGATAGCAACATTATTTATGGACATGATATCACAACAAAGGGGGACAAAAAGCTTCGGAAGCCCGTCCAAGTATCGATGTGAATGCAACGAAGACCATGTGGTTCAGCCAAATGTCCTGGCTTGGCTGGGCCAAAAACATTGGCCGGATGCGGAACATTGTTGGTATCTTAAGGGTAAGTTGTAACCGACCTTTCTGGCTGGGATATACACATGTACAATATTGTATAATACATGGATCCACCCGCAAAATATGTACGTGGGATATTAGGGATATAGCTTAAGGTAAAGGTATACAACATTATATAACACACTTTTAGATAATGTACATGTGATATTACTCACTTTTACTAAGGTACCCAACAGGTGGTATATATTACACTTAACTCAGAGACCACCTAGGTCGATAACCCACAGAGCTCTATGGATGTGGGGTGCTCCAGAAAGAGGACACCCTGAAATTGCCACTTTTTGACGAGGAAATATGGGAAAATTATGATCAACCATGAGATTTTCTGAGACAATTTCCAACCAAACCCCAATTTTTGGACACTTTTGGCACATTCGGTCCCCCGAAGATCCTGACATACGCCAAATTGATAGACCTAGTGCTTCTCTTCTGATTTGTTTTAAGTTTTGATAATGGCAAGTAACCGATATCCACGAGTATCGACAGTATGGACGTTTTCCGTGTTTTTAGACTTACCGCAACTATCCGTAGGGTCAAAATTGGGCACTCCAACATGTATGGAAAGTTCTAATCTGTCAAATCCGCAACTTCAGGGAGATAATCCCTTGTGACGTCTCCCCACTCAGCCAATCATGTAAAATAAACAACATCTAACCAGAGTTTGGAGGATCTTGGAATAACAAACTTCTCAAGCTTTGGGGATTTTGCGAAAGACCCAATTTCAGTGATCCCCTCAACGATAACTGGTTAAACTTTGTCCAAAAAGAATCTTGGTTGTTGTTGGTCAAGATTTGCCCTATCCATGAAGTCAAAAAAAAACATGGGGGGGTCAGCTGACTGGGAAAAGTTATGCCATTACATCCCGTTATATCCCCAGTATCCCCATTATGTTGTCCCATCATATCCCCATTCATTATTATATATACAATGTGGTATAAATATCACCACATGAGACCAACATATAAAATCGTTAAAAAAAACACATGGAGATATCATGGGGGTTTATCATTTATCCGAAGCATCAGTGATCAATTGGGTTTCATCCGATCCTCTGAAAAGAAAAAGTTTTGGTCCACAATGCAACGCACAGACACGTACATATACCCGAACGCCAAGATCCTCAGGGCTTAGGGAGCTTGCTACACAGCAACATATAGGCTCCGCCGGGGGGGTTTGCCCGGCTTGGAACAAGGTCGACTGGGACGACATGTCATGAGTGTCCGCAGCTGTTTGTTGTTCTTGTAGTCATGGTGTTGATTTGACTGTGTTTTTTTCATATAAAATGTGGTTGTTCACAAGAAGACTTCATATCAGGTTTTCAGATGCAATTGATCATTGAATGTTTTGACAATGTCCAAACTTGAGTTTTTTTCGCCAAATCTGGCGGAAAAAAAACAATCACCTGTAATTTACAGCGTTTCCATTTGACACGATTTGCCATGAATGCTGTTTGGTCGAGTTTGACTTTGTGCATCGTGTTGCGGATCGGTGGAATATCTTTGCCACCACTTCTTTCACTGTCCCTGACAGTAACTCATATTTCGTTAGCGACATCAGACTTGTGATTCCAAAGAAAGTTTCTTTAGTTTTTGAAAAGCTTCGGTAGATTCGCATTTGTGGTCGTGCAGGGCTCACGTGGCCCAAACCAGCATGAAACGTAGTTTGCGGTCGGACAGGCGGCGGTATCCCGATGGCAGACCGAAGCCAACGTCGCGTACATTGGCAACATCGTCCGGAGTCAACCGCAAGTCAAATCAAAGCATCGATGAGAAGGGCTGGCAAACTGGGTCGAGCAGCAGCAGATAGCAGCGGAGAACACGTGGATCCATTAAGTTTGTACTTCTTGTCCGTGCATCCGGGTTTGGAAAGTGTGACAAATGCTTTTCGAGAATATATGGCTTGGTGATGCCTGCCCAGAACTTCCATTCCTCCTTATTTAAGGAATTCCTCCTTATTTAAGGAATTCCTCCTTAAAATTCCTCCTTAAATTAAGGTGGAATTTTTGAAAAAATCCTCCTTAAAATTCCTCCTTAAATTTTCAATTGCAAGGAGATCTTGCACCTCCTTCAGCAGGAGACTTGAAACCTCCTTATCCCAGATCCTGGCAGCAAAACTTTTCACTTCAGCTCTGGAATCACTTGTGCTCGAAAACTTTGCAGAACACTCATGCCCATGGAATAAGGGTTGTGGCTTCCACCTTTCACAGCTCCTAAGTGAGCTAGGAAGCCACCAAAGTCTTCGTCTCGATATGTCCAACTGTCTGATGGACAAGAGTTCTGGAGCAATAAATCTAAGAAGCTGTGGTGCTTTGGTTTGATCTTCCAAGTATGGTCAGTCTCGTTTTCCAAGCTCTTGCACAACAGCAAAAACTTTCTGCCAGGCAGCAGCATTGACTGGTGATTCCATAGATTCTTGGACAAGAAAGAATAACATTGCCACAGTTCTGTGGCAGCCATCTTGATTGTATATTCAAACACACTGTCATCAGCCAAAAATTCATCGCAGATTTGTTTTGCAAGAGTAATCAACCCTCGAGCTTCTGCAGCTTTGGCTCGAAGTTTTGGACTTGAACTGGCTTTCTTTCTGATCATGAGGACTGTCAAAGTAGGAAGCCTGTTTTCCACACCTTCAGTCTTGTAGTAGCTTTGAATTCTGTGGAACAAGCTTTTCACCCTTTCTTTGACATTGTTGCCAGGCAAGTGATTTCCAGAGGCAATTAAATGGTGAAAAACATTGCCCATAAAATCTGCTGCCACGCCCAAGTCCACAATGTGAAGCCAGTCCAAAAGAAATTGTTTGCTTGTCAGTCCTGGTGTTTGAAACAATTCACTGATGTCAATGCCAGAATTGGAAATGGATTGCAACAAAGTGAAATGGTCCAAAGGATCAAATGCCTTGCAGCTTTCAAAGTTTCGAATTTCAATTGGTTTGCACAAGCACAAATGGCAGCATCCTTGTTTGTCTCGCCATCCAGGAAATTGGAAAACTTCTTTTCTCATAGCCCAATCACCTCTCACTTCAAGTAAAAAAAGCAGTGAAAGGCAATGCCTTGCCATTGAATGTGCTTCGTTTTTTGTCGCCTGGGTGCCAAAAGCTGCCATCATGCCTTGCTGAAGGCCAAGTGCACTTGGCTAAGTGAATAAAAGACCAAGACAAAATTCCTAACATCTTCGACAAAGTTACTCCCTTGATGCACCAGTGCTTTGGAATACAGCACAAAGGGATTCGCAAAGTACCATTAGGTGGAAGTAAGCCAGGAAAATTCAATGAGATGCATTCCAAAGTTTGACTTCTGTCATAATTGTAAGGTGTGCCATCGATCCAAAGGCCAAGTCCTATGGCTTCTCGAACTTGGAACTGCATTTGCATGTTCGCCAAATGTTTTTTGCTGAGTTCACACATGCCACCAGTCTGCAGCAAGTCTTTCTTCTCAGAGCGCTTCGAGAAGACAAAATGAATCTCATGTGGCAAAAGAAAAGGTATCTTCTTCATCTCTTCTGCTTGTGTTTCAGGATTGTAGCAAGGGATCAATGCAATGTATTCATTGAATCACAGGCAGTTCTTCAACATTTTTCTTTTCATATCCCTTGCCAAATTCTTTTCCCAATTGGCTTGCTTCTCACCACTGCCAGATTTCTCTGCACCTTTGGCCAAATCTTTCACACCAGCGGCTCCAGCTATTTGTGCATCTTTCATGAGCTCATTGGCTCTTCTAGCAGAGACAGTCTTGGTCAAAAACAAATTGGACACATTGTGTCGAAACCTCTTCTGGTCAGGTTCCCTAAGGGTAGACAAATCTACCTTTCTCTTGTGAAACATGGCTTGAGCTGGAAAACATGTCAACATAAAAGTTCATAAGATCTCAGAAGACAAGAAGTTACACATTGTATTTAGTTAATGCTAAATTTGGCCAATGCTTTGAAACAGGGAAACAGTAAAGGAGATCTTACACCTCCTTGAGTCTTGTACGCCAGCTTAGAAGCAGGCTCTTTTTCCAGCGACAGTTACCAGCTGCGCATCTTCCAAGCAGGTCCCTGCGATATTTTAATCTGCATTTCCACATTCCAAAACTGACAACTGCACCAAATGCGCTTTCCAAAATCTAAGGGCCAAACAGCTCCTACAGCAATGCCTGGTGAGTTTTCACCTTGGCTTTTGCTTCTTGCAGCTTCTCTTGGCTGGAAGCAAGCCATGCTTTGGCAGCAGGCAATGATTTCGAAAGGCTTTCAGGAGAAGTGTCCTCAGGAGCAAGATCTTCACTGGCTGCGACATAGGATCGAAGGTTGGCAATGGCTTTCAACTGCTCTTGACACCAAGTCTGAAGACCTTTGCCTTTGGCATGGAAGCTTGGGTCACCTTTGATTTCCAAACGACAGGCCAGGTCCTGGGCCTTGGCAAGCTCCTTCTCCCAGGCATTCTTGCAGGAATTCAGACTCTTGCACACATTCTGAAACTCCTTCAAAGGCTTACTGACCCCCTTGTCATCCAAAGCCTGGCCTGAGATCTGCTTGTCCATTGGGTCCACAGGGTTCTTCTCAATGGTGGCCAGTGGCTGCTTCCTCCATGGAGGCAGTTCCTTTGGAGGTTCCATTGAACCTTTCACTGAAAACTGAAAAGTGTAATGATGAAGTAAGTTGTGATGTCTATGAATCTCCAGTTCCAAATCCGATGGTTTCTATTTTGGATCCAAAGTGATTTTTATTGGAGGTTAAAATTGGTTAAAATTAAAATTGCCAATTTTAATTTTAACCAATCCTGCCTTTAAAAGTAATACATAAACTGGTTAAAATTAAAATTGGCAATTTTAATTTTAACCAATTTTAACCTCCTTATTTTTCCAATTTGAAACCTTTACAGTCATCATGCATGACCTGAGTGAATTGTATCCAGAGTTGCCAAGAGCCACTCAAACAAAGGAAATGGATGGGCATCAGCTTCGGCCAAGGAGATCTTGCACCTCCTTTTTGATTCCAGCATTGGACACTAGTGCAATGATTGTGATACCTCAGGTTCAGATCATCAGCTCTCATCATCATTCCAAAGCTGATCATGTGCATCCATCAAGGCTTCAAAAATGATTCTACAGGTCCATCACAACTACATTGATCAATATGACTCGACAGCTTCAGCCATGCAGAAATGCTCATATCACAGATATCATGTTTTACTTAAATTTAAATTTAGTTTATCAAGGAGATCTGGCACCTCCTTAAAGAGTCGCTTGCGCCCATAATCTCCAATCATTTTTCCAGGGAAGCTCAATTGACTCAATCTACATTTGAATCCTCATCCTCTTTTGATTTTTCGGCTTGCTCTCCAGCATCAATAGGTGATGTAGGAGAATATGGGGTTACAGCAGGACCTGATCAGGAGGCATGATGATGAACATATTGCACAGTGCATGGTTGACATGAGATGCTTTCAAATCCACAGTCACAGAAAACTCCAGCCTGTGTAGATCATTCCTTCATCCAGGAAATGTTCTCAAGTAGCTTGTAGAAGGCGAGGTGGCAGGCGCTGGGGTACTTGGAGGGGGCATTGGAAGGGGCATTGGAAGGGGCATTGGAGAAGCACCTGGAGGGTCATGAGAACTTGGAGGGGCACCTGGAATAGGTGCTGGAGGCGGAGGTGTATTTGGAGGTGGTAAAGGTTGCGATTGGGCATTGACATGAGGTGTCAATGCCTGGATCACCTGGTTTTGTAGCCTGATCAGCTCCAAAACACGGTCAATCTCCTTATCTCCAGGCCTCCTGCGAGAGGAACTTGATTGTCCAGCTCCCATAGCAACAGCAAGAAAAAATATCGAGCACTGAAACAGGAGCTAGAAAGCCAAAGCAGCTTCAGTTGCAAAATCCATTCTCAACACTGCAATTGCCATGCAAAACAATTTCAACATTCCAAATTCCAGACAAAACTTCTCAAATCCAGAATTCCAACCCAACATTAAACATTAAAGCCACATCCTATGAAAGTCTATAAGCCATTTTTGAAATCCACCCAGGCAGTAAACTCTCAAGTTCCAAATGTCAGGAGATCTTGCACCTCCTTAAGACAGAAAAGTGGAAAGACTATTTCCTATTTTCCTATTGAGAACTCTCAG